ACAAGATGGAATTAGCTTGACTTTAATGCAAATTTATATTCAGGAGTTACTTCTGGCCAAACCCTTTGCTTATTGTCCCGTAGGTCATGTTGGAATTCCTTTGGCTTACTGTTCCATATGGTTTTTGGGTCAAGCCTACAGAAAGCCATCAATATTTTGGGTTTCATCACTTTTGTTTCTACTTATTTACTGAAGCAAAAAAAGTATGACCTTTTTGTAGAACATAGTAAAGTCATTCTCCCACTTAGAAGCAGGCCTCATTCTAGAAGTCTGTATAGAAGTTGTTTAGGGCTATGAATACATTTTCTCCTTGACTTCTAGTCTGAACCAAAAAAGCATTTGTGCTGAAATTTTATTTATTTATTTATTTAAGATTTTATTTATTTATTAGAGAGGGACACAGCCAGAGAGGGAACACAAGCGGGGGGGGGGGGGGGGGGAGGGAGAAGCAGGCTTCCCACTGAGCAGGGAGCCTGGATGAGGGGCTCCATCCCAGGACCCTGGGATCATGACCTGAGCCGAAGGTAAATGCTTAACAGCTGAGCCCCCAGGTGCCCCTGTGCTGAAACTTTAGTGTGTAGAAGAATCATGTAGTGATTCTTGTTAAAAAAGAATTATTCAACCCCACCCAGAGATGTGTGGGCTCAGAAGCTCTGCAGGGGGTCTGTGGATCTACATTTGAAATAAAATCCTCAAGGGATACAGATGCATTGAGAAGCATGCTATAAAGGCAGTTTAACCCACAAGGGACTGAAATACCAGAGATTTTAGATGAAAAATAGTAAAATAAAAGTTCCGAGCTGAGAGAAAATATTTAGAATAGATTTACAAAACATATCTAGAATGGTGTACAATGAACAGCAGATTTATTTAGAGTAGGATAAAGAGGTGCTGATTCATTTATCCTCTCAACAAATATCATTTGAGGTTCTACTTTGAGATAGTCACTAATTTAGATGAGAGGACCATAGTGGTTTGACACAGTTCCTCTCAAAGTCTATAGTCATTGGAGGAAGCAGATGTTAATAAAATTATCACACTACATGAATAAATCATCACAAATTGAGGTAAGCACTCTGAAGAAAAAGTATACCATTCCCTAAAAGTGTAGGACTTAGGTTGGGGGTGCGCAGTGGGAGAAAACTTTCCTGAGGAGATGATACTTGGGTGGAGATCTGAATGAAGTTGTCTCAGTGATGTGTGATTGGTGGACTGGTGCAGGTGGCTGGGGATGAGGGCATTCTAAGGGGATTGTGTAAATAAAGGTCTAAAGAGGAGGAGGCACCTCTCTGGCTGAGAAGTGGGAAGAAGGCCAGCGTGGCTGGAGCACAGAAGTTGAAGTGGCAGATGGCAGAAGAGACTGGAGAGGGAATCAAGATCCTTGCAGACCCTTGTGTAATGATGTTGATCTTTAGCTTAAAATCATTAAGTGGAGTGGACTGTGTGTGTGTGATCACTGGTAGCAATGTGAGCAGATTGCAGGATGGCCAGAGTAGATACAGATAAAGTTTGCAAGTTTTTGTAGTGCTGTGAATGAGGTTTAATGGCCTTTTGGACTTGGGTAGAAAAGTGGAAAAGGTGGGAAGAAAACAGATTCCAGAGACACTTTGGAGGTTGTTGATGGGTTGGCTGTGAGGAGTGGGTATCACAGAAGATGTCTTGGGCTTCTGTCTTGTGCATTGGATAATGGTTATGCCTATAATTAAAAATAGTGGAAAGGACCAGATACTGGGGGAAAGATAGTTTGTTCTTAGACATGTTGAGTTCAAGATTTCAAAGCAGAGATATTTAGGCAGGTTGATGGAAAAACACATCCAGAATTCACTGGAGTAGTTTGAACTGAAGGTAGAAATTAAGGCCATCGGTGTCCAAATTATTACTGAAGCTTTAAGCATAAGTAATATTGTGGGATGAGAATTCAGAGGAAAAGAGAAGAGGTTCTGGGAGAGATCCTTGGAAAACTTCAATATTTATGGCAAATAGAGGAGGATGAGCTTGATAAATATGCAAAGGAGTGGCCAGAGAGGTGTTAAAAAGCCAAAATAGAACAAAAATAACCCAGAAGATTGTGGTGTTATGGAAGATGTGGGAAGAAGGAAGAGTGTCAAGAAAGAAGTAGTAGTCCTTGCTGCTGAATGCTGCTGTGTGGTCCAGGAAGATAAGGAATGAAAAAAAGATTCCCTGATAGATGAAAGTGGTTGACTTCAGTGGACCTCACGGGAGCCATTTTAGTGGTATTGATGGGAATAGAAGCCACACTGGCATGTCTGGGAAGTGAGTAGAGGTGAGAAAATGGAAGAGTTTCATGACTCTTACTGGTCTCTCTGTTAGTAGCGTTAGTGTTTGTTTGCTTGTTTGTTGCCCAGTTTCTCTTTAAAGTGTGTTCTTTTCCTTTGATGTCTCAGTAGTTGTGCTTGTATTTTTATCAGCCCACTATTAGGCTTGCAGAGAGAATAATTAAAAGTTTTTTTAAAAAGCTGAAAAAGAATATAAAAGAAAAAAACTTCCATAAGAGACTGGACAAGAGTACCAAGAAAAAGAGAAAGAGTGAAAGGGGTTCACAAAGATATGTCTACAGATAAAAATAATAGAACAATATAAGAGAGAACTCTTAGGACACTCTTATTATGTACGAGGCACTTGGTAAAGCACTTTAAATATAATAACTCATTCAGTAATCACAGCCCTAGGAGTTATTCTCATTCTGTAGATCAAAGGAACTGGGACACGGAGAGTTTGAGTAAATTGCCCAAGGTCATCTGGATAAATAGTGGTTGAGCTGGATCATAAACTCTGGTGTCTTGAATCTTTAGTCTTCATAACTAAATGAGTATGAGTTTGGCAAGTAGAATCAAGTGAGTTCAGAGTAGTAGAAAATACAGACAAAGCAGGGGACCTGACATGGGCTGAATCCCACTGAGGTGAAGTGAATGGTAGCATGGGAGAGATGTGAGCAAAAGTCCTGGAGTATGGACTACCAGTCCCTCCTCCTGCAGACACTCCAGCCTTTGCTAGTGATTTTCTTTTCTTTTTTTTTTTTTAAAGATTTTATTTATTTATTTGACAGAGAGAGACACAGCGAGAGAGGGAACACAAGCAGGGGGGGATGGGAGAGGGAGAAGCAGGCTTCCCGCAGAGCAGGGAGCCCCATGTGGGGCTCGATCCCAGGACCATGGGATCATGACCCGAGCCGAAGGCAGATGCTTAACAACTGAGCTACTCAGGTGCCCTGCTAGTGATTTTCTTAGAGACCACCCCCCACCCCCACTACACCATCTTTAGGCTTATAAGGGCAGTGATTGAAATATTCACATCTCTTAGCATACTCAATCTTCTTTATATGGTAGCAGTATGCTACTGCTTTAATTTAGCATAGTCTGACTCAGCTTTGAGGTCTTAACCCCAGTGGTGGGATGATAGGAAAAAAAATCCCTCTTGATAACATGTCCCCAAAGTATTTTTCTCTTTTGGCACAATGTCTAGCATTCAATAATAGTAGCTATTTTATTTATTATTGTAACCTCACAACTGAGAAGAGGGGGCGCACATAGTTTTGAAGATGCTCTTCTTGATGGGCAACTTGGCCATATCTGAGGGATTTTTTTTTTTTTTTGGCTTCTTTGGCACTATACTTTAAGAAGGTCTTAGAGCATGTTCAGGTGAAGGTAAATGAATTAATAGTTTTATCATATGAAAAATGATAGAATTAAGGATGAAAAAAGAAAAGGAATACTAATGGCAGAAACTTCAAGAAGATACACTTTGTCTCAATACAAATAACTGATTTCTAACAAGGCCTTTGAAAGTTATAACATGCTGCCTTAAGGAATAATGTGTTTCTCAACCTTGGATGTGGTCAACATGGCTAAATATATACTTGGTAAGTGATAGATATGTTGTAGATAAGTGATTCATAAGCTGTAAAGAGTAAGCATATGGAAGATGTCTATTAAAATAGGCACCCAAATAGATTATTGAATAGCTGAATAAATTAATGGAGCTGGAAGCTATATCCCAGAGAGTCTATGATCCCATATAATTCTTCACATCTTGGGAAATCAGAGTAGTGTTTCAGTGACAAGGGATAGTTTTGGATCCAGATGGGGCACTGCCCAAAGGGAAAGGTAACAGTGGGACTTGGGTTTGGTTGATATGGTGGCCAAGGAAGTATGAAGTATGATGATGAGGACAGTGGTTACAGCCAGTTGGTCAGCTTCTGTTTTATCTTGAATCACTCCAAGCTCTTGATGCCTAATTACCATAAAAATATCAGGAAAATACATCCTCATCTCCAAGGAATATCACCACTGAAGGACAGGTGACAGGGAAGCTCAGGCAAACAGCCACCAGGGACAAGAAAATGTACATTCTGGCAGACAAATGAACAGTCATATTAAAACTAAAGTTATTAACCCTGATAATCACCTTGAAATGATTTTTCTAAATTTTTTCATGAAGAAACAAGATTCAAAATACATAGTTGACATCAGCTATTCCACCCATGACTCTCAGCTAAATGTCTTTCAGCTTTGCTCTGTAGCTCCCTTCTGTTCTAAATTATTCTAGGGCTCTACAGGAATTTATAAATTCTGATGTTGCTGATTAAAAGTAGTTTTACAAAAACCTTGTTGATAAAAGTGTGGTGGCTATTGAGTAAACAGTTGTCCTGAATTGTCAAAATATGTCAGCACAACTTGCTATAATAATACGTTTTGAACTGGTGGGTCAACTCTCAATGCATTAAATGGGTTCCTTTTTCTTCCCATGGATTTTCTTTGATGTTAAATTGTCATGGTAACAGAATAGCAGCATTGCCAAATGTAGTTTTCATGGCAGGAAAAAAATATAAGCCACATGCTGTAAAGCAAACCATAGAAACTGTTCAACTGCACATATCCAGAACTGACATTCAGATAGGACAAGTCGGTCTACTTGCAGGCTATATACCCTTGTGGAGTTGGCTACAATAAATGTGTCTCTCTCTTTCTTTTTTCTTCAAGATCAAGAGCAAGAAGATAAAGAATTAAACAAAGAAACACATTGTGGTTTATAATTCTGAAAAGGAAATAAGAACAGCTCTCAAACCAGTGAGAAAATGAAATTAAGTAGAAATTATGATAAAGATCTCCTTTGCTGTTTGTAGAATTTGCCCTGGGACCTAAGGTAACCTTTACAAATTTGAGTCTGTCTTACTGTTCTATTCTGACCCACTCTCCAGAAGCAGGAGTTTTCTGGAAGGAGTGCTTTCCTACTTCTTCATGTCTCCTTCCACCTGTTGCTAGGGTTATTCCTGGCTACTACATTTGCTTTTTCAGAAAGGAAAAATAAGGTAAAAAGCTTAGAACTGGAAAAACTTGTAAGATCACATAGCCTGACTTCTTCATTTTATCCACAAGAAAAAAAATGATGCTTCTAAAAGTTCGGTGGTTATCCCTGCCCACACAGGAAGCTAGTGGCATTACCATGGGTAAACAGCTAACACTTGTTGCAACAAGATCGTATTTTAAGTTCTTTAAAAAACGTTAGGTAATTTAATCCTCCCAACGATCTTATGAAGTAGATACTAGTATCTTGATTATTTTACAGATAACAAGTGTTTGTGTTACTTCTGGTAAAAGCCAGGAAGTAGCCAAGCAAAGACGCAACATGGGCATCTACGGTGGAGAAAGTCATGGGGTTTTTGAGGAAGATAAATTTATATTGCAATTCTTGCATCAGTACTTAGCAGCTTTGAGATGTTGGGTGGTTTCCTACATCTCTCAAGCCTCAGTTCCCTCGTCTGTAAAAGAGGGTGATACAGGATGGTTTTAAAGGTTAAATGAAATTATATATGTCTTAGCATAGTGCCTGGCACTTAGGAAAGGCTCAGTTAACAGTAGCTATCATTTTTATTATCATTTTATTGTTTTTAAAAAGATTTTATTTCTTTATTTATTTTTAGAGAGAGTGCGAGAGAGTGCAAGCAGGGGGAGGGGCAGAGGGAGAGAGAGAATCCCAAGCAGATTCCATGCTGAGCACCGAGCCTGATGCTGGGCTCCATCCCACGACCCTGAGATCATGACCTGCCCCGAAAATAAGAGTGAGATGTTTAACAGACTAAGCCACCCAGGTGCCCCTCATCATTTTATTATTTTTATATCTCAATCTTCTGGATTCTATCGAGAGATTTCCACTAACCTGTTTATCTTATTGTCCAATGTTGTCCAAACACCTCTACAAATACAATGTTTATGAAACTTGAACCATATTTTTCAGCATTGGAGTTGCATTAGAGTAAAAATATAGCCTCTCCAATAAAAGTAATTAAACAAATTTTAGTTGTATCTTTTTGTTCTTTAGTTTTTGAGCATCATTAAGGGTATACGTAGTTTCCAGACTTCTTACACTCACTTTATTTCTCTTATTCTCTACCCATACCTGAAAATAGCTCCTCTTAGTTACTATCTCCTCAGTGTCCCTTCCCCCACATTCCCTAAGTATAACAAAGCCACCTTAGGTAGAAATGTAAGTATATGATCATCAAATTTCAGAGTGTACAGTTTCCTTAAAAATCATGTTATCCAATCATTGTTGGGGGAGGATGTGAGTTGAGATGTGTGGATGAGGATTTATGATTTTAAGTTCTACTCCAAACAACCAGCATCATCCCAGCACAGCAGCATGATTTATCCCACATGCAAATTTTTTACCTTTTCTGAGTGGCCAGTAATTGTATCTCTGCCAGTTCCATCAACAACTGTCTACATTTAGAAATGTCAGCCTGGTTATTAATCTACAGGAAATAACAGTAAGAGTGTTGATTCATGGGTGTGGAGTTATATATTATAAAAAATTTCCAGGTAAGGTGGATTAAAAGCAGCAACATTTTTCTAGTATCAATTGTCCTAAAATTTAGGTGACTCACTATTCCTATAGATTCTGAATCTCATTAACGTTGTAACTGTGCCCAAAGTTATTCCAAAATATATAATGTAGGCTCTGTTATGGGAGCTCTTTGCTAAGGTTATGGAAGAAACTGGTTTAGAGCTTAGAAGTAGAGATGGAAGATGTGTATATGTGTGGGGAGGGGAATGATGCTGAAAAACACCTGGAAAGTGACTTCAGATTTTAAATTTCATGAGGTTAGGGATACTTTATTGTGCAGAATTGCTCCACTTTTCCTTTCAACTCTATAACTGGATGATGTTGATGATTAATTCCTTTATGCTTCTTCTTGCATCCAAAAGAGTTGGTTAGTGGAGCCAAGCACTCTTTATCCCTGGTTTAAATAGAGAAAACCACAATAACACGGAATCAGCAGTACATAATGGTTCATCTTCCAAGATATCAGAACTCAAATTTATTTATTCATTCATTCATCTATCCATCTATTCAACAAATATTTGTGGAGCACACATTATGATCCACCAAGAATTGACCAGGTTCTAAAGGACTGACTGACACAATCAAGCAAGATAATGCTCATTCATTTTAAAAGAGGAATAGTCGTCTCTAATCATCAGAATGTTTGGGCATGCCTGTCCTGAGACAACCCAAATTTGTCAGAAGATTGCTTGGACAATGAGGAATCAGAACAATGATTATCATCGCTTTTGTTTGTTTTATCAGACTATGGAATAGTCTGAAATACATACCTCTACCATAGCAGCAATGATTACATTCAATTAACATCCATTCTATGAAAACTATCAAGTAAATGTCATAAGCCCAACACTGTATGAGGTACTAAAAAAAACTACCAATTATTGTATACCACTCAATTTTACAGATCCAGCAATTTATGTATAGAGGAATTATGTAAGTCACCCAAGATTATACAACTTTCCTTACCTGTTCCTTCCACAACTTGGTGATGTCAGATAGCCTTTCTCTCTTTAGTGCCTCTCCTAACCCACTGGCATCAATCCTAAGATATCAGTGAATTGCTGATAAAAAAGTGTCTAACACTGCTAGATAAAAAGTTATCTAACACTTAACATCACAGGGCTTTTATGCTCTCATTTCCCCAAGATTAAAGACTTGAAACTAAAGACAAATAGAGCTGGGTTTGGTATAAAAGAAGGCTGATATTATAGATTGAGCACCAGTAGGCCTTGGTGTTTATGTTCTGTTTCAATGAATTTGCAATGAACTAGCCAGCCATCATTCCTCTGTCTTCCTCCTTCCCCCCACCCCTCTCCTTTTCTCTCCTCTCCTTCTCCAGAAGAAGGTATTTGCAAGATGGTTGGGAAAGATTACACTTAAAGGTATGGCCTGGGAAAGGAAGGTTTTCCTCTCTGTTGGGCCTTATGTGAATAGAACGCCATGATCTCCATAGCAAGCTACCTTTCTTAAAAATGCGAGGTAACTGAACATGTTCTGCAGGCAGAGCTAGGAGAGTCTTGGGAAGTGAGCCAGGTGGCAGCAAGTCTGAGGAGGGGAGCATCAGAGTATAGGCTGATGTGAGACTGGACTTTCTTAATGAGCAGTAAGCACTGGCCCATGTGTGAAACATACAGATCCTATTGACCTGGGCAAATAGAAGCACAAGATTGACTGACATGGAGGACTTAAGAGGGTGAGAATATAGAAAATCAAATATAAGGTAGAAGAAGTATAAATACAACCAGATTAAAACAATTACTTTTAAGGCACCTGGGTGGCTCAGTCATTAAGCATCTGCCTTCGGCTCAGGTCATGATCCCAGGGTCCTGGGATTGAGCCCCGCATGGGGCTCCCTGCTCCACAGGAAGCCTGCTTCTCCCTCTCCCCCTGCTTGTGTTCCCTCTCCCACTGTGTCTCTCTCTGTCAAATAAATAAATAAAATCTTTAAAAAAACAATTCCTTTTAGGGTGTGCCACTCTTGATCTTGGGGTCGTGAATTTGAGTCCCACATTGGGGGTAGAGATTACTTTTAAAAAATCCCTTTTAACATTTACATTTGAGGATGTTCTACAATTAAGAATAATGTAAAATCATATTCATTGTCTTGTTAATGGAGACATAAAATATTGGTAAGAAAAAAGTTGCGAAATAGTATAGAGTATATGACTGCAAGATATAAGAAAAATGTGTGTATGGAGAAGGCTGGTTGTAACATGGTAGTGGTGGTCTACACTAGGTGATGATATTGTAGATGACTTAATTTCTTCTTCACACATATTTGTATTTTCTATAAAACACTTATTTGTATTTTTAAAAATGTTTTTATTTTTTAAAAGCTTTATTTTAGAGAGAGAGAAGCAGACTCCCCACTGAGCACGGAGCCCAGTGTGGGGCTCGATCTCACAACCCTGAAATCCTGACCTGAGCTGAAATCAAGAGTTAAATCCTTAACCAACTGAGCCACCCAGGTGCACCTTTATTTTAAAAAGTGGGGCCCCCCAAAAATAAGAATTTTGTCAGTGATTCTGTACTAAAAGCAGGAAGCAGTTTATAGCTGTTAAAATTTGGCCACTAAAGACATGGGTTATTTTGGTCTCATGACAGATGTTTATGGAACAGGATGTCCCAGCCTCTCGTAAGTCAAACTGGCTAACTTTGTACTTTGCACACTGTAGTCTGCTGTGAGCATGAAGATAATCAAAACTGGAAAGGTATTTAATTTATCATGATGGTGAAGTGCAGTGTACCTGGAAGACGGGTGTTGTGAGAGATTCTAGTCTCTAGACAGCAGGGAAGCCAGAGAAAATGCCGAGAAGTTGTTGACAACCATACTGGTCCCTTGCCTACTCAACCTCTTCCCTAGCTCTGACAGCCTGGAGGAATTAAACTCCTTTTCAACTTCTCCCAGGCCTCACTATTCCTTGGTGCTTGTCCCATCAGCCGAAGCAGAGCATTTTGATTAGGATTCTTTGAGGGTCATTAACATGAAAAAACACTGATTTTTAATTACTCTCTTTTCCAGGTCACCATTGACCCTTGCCCATGGAGCCTCCCCTCCATTCTGAACACTTTGAATTCTGCCTTCACACCTTCGCAAGGGCTCAGTAACTTCGGTCCGTGTTCCCCTTGGAGTGCATGTTGCATCAATTTCCTCACTGCACCAGTTCAAACCATTGAAACCATTACTACCTCTCCCTTTATCCTTTGCTTCCTGGCCTCAACCCTGCTTCCCCCCACCCCCAGATCCTCCATTCTTATGCCAAAGTTTTCTTTTAAAAACAATTGCTCATGTCACTCTTCCCCCCCACTATCTAATACCTTATGGTACTCTATGGTATAATCCAAATGCGTATGCATGACCTCAAGTTATATCCCCAGTTTCTTTACCCACACCACCCCTTCCTCAGAGACTACCTCCTGGGAACTCTAGGTTCAGCCCCAGTAGATGTGTCTGGTCCAGAAGAAACACATTCTGTTTCTCTATGCCTTTGCTAATGCTGTTCCCTTTTCCTGCCTTTCTTAGCCTAAAAAAAAAAAAACAAAAAAAAAACCCTTCTGATCATCAAAGCCTCAACTCAGTTACTTCCTCCTGGAAATCATAAATATAGCCACCAAATTTATAGTTGTTCAAGTATTTATATGTGCTCTGAGAGCACTCTCTGTTCCTAGGTATGGTGTGGCTTTTACCGTTATTGTATAATAATTCAGGGGTCCTCGTGTAAACTGGAGGTAATGGCAATATCTTCCTTAGAGGGCTGTTGGAAGGACTAAGTGAGTGATAGATCACATTCTCTGTTAGGCAGGTTTGTGTAAGCTAAAGAAATAGCTGCACAGTTCGTAGAAGGCAGGCAAAGGGGCCATAAGGCAATTGGTCCTTGAGAAGTCACCAGCAAGCAAAAGCCATAATTAAGCAAAATCCAGAAAATAAATGCAGTAAATTGTGAGGTAATTCCCTGTTGGTAGCAGGAATAGTAGGCAGACATGGAGGAGCCCAAGGCCCTGAGAGCAACTGCTTTGCCCCTCTACTCTGATAGATACTGAATCCTATCCTATCCCCAGCCTACTTTCCTGGCCCCATCAAGGAAATACATAATTTGCAGGGCCCAGTGAAAAGTGAAAATGTGAGATTCCTTGTTCAATAATTATTAAGAATTTCAAGACAGCAGCCTTAGTGTATTAAACCAAATGAGTGTCTATTTCTTGCAAATATAATAGTTTGGCGAAAATATTCCTCCTTTAAATCTTGTTCCCCAGGATGCCTGTGTAGCTCAGTGGATTAGGCGTCTGCCTTTGGCTCAGGTCATGGTCCCAGAGTCCTGGGATGGAGCCCAGCGTCGGGCTCTCTGTCTGCCACTCCCCTTCCTTATGCACTCTCTCTCTCTCTCTCTGACAAGTAAATTTTTTTAAAGATTTTTTTTATTATGTTAAACCATACATTACATCATTAGTTTTTGATGTAGTGTTCCATGATTCATTGTTTGTGTATAACACCCAGTGCTCCATGCAGAACGTGCCCTCTTTAATACCCATCACCAGGCTGACCCATCCCCCGACCCCCCCCCCCGAAGCCTCAGTTTGTTTTTCAGAGTCCATCGTCTCTCATGGTTCGTCTCCCCCTCCAATTTCTCTCCCTTCATTCTTCCCCTCCTGCTATCTTCTTTTTTTTTTAACACATAATGTATTATTTGTTTCAGAGGTACAGACCTGTGATTCAACAGTCTTGCACACTTCACAGCGTTCACCATAGCATATACGCTCCCCAATGTCTATCACCCAGCCACCCCATCCCTCCTACCCCCACCACTCCAGCAGCCCTCAGTTTCTTTCCTTAGATTAAGAATTCCTCACATCAGTGAGGTCATATGATACATGTCTTTCTCTGATTGACTTATTTCGCTCAGCATAATACCCTCCAGTTCCAACCACGTCATTGTAAATGGCAAGATATCATTCTTTTTGATGGCTGCATAATATTCCATTGTGTGTATATATATATATATATACCACCCCTTTATCCATTCATCTATTGATGGAATTCATGGCTCTTTCCACAGTTTGGCTATTGTGGACATTGCTGCTACAAACATCGGGGTGCACGTACCCTTTCGGATCCCTACATTTGTATCGTTGGGGTAAATACCCAGTAGAGCAGTTGCTGGGTTGTACAGCAGCTCTATTTTCAACTTTTTGAAGAACCTCCATACTGTTTTCCAGAGTGGCTGCTCCAGCTTGCAGTCCCACCAACAGTCTAGGAGGGTTCCCCTTTCTCTGCATCCCTGCCAACATCTCTCATTTCCTGTCCTTAATTTTAGCCATTCTGACTGGTGTGAGGTGGTATCTCATTGACGTTTTGATTTGGATTTCCCTGATGCCGAGCGATGTTGAGCACTTTTTCATGTGTCTGTTGGCCATTTGGATGTCTTCTTTGGAAAAATGTCTGTTCATGTATTGGATCATTTGTTCTTTGGGTGTTGAGTTTAAGAAGTTCTTTATAGATTTTAGATACTAGCCCTTTATCTGATATGTCATTTGCAAATATCTTCTCCCATTCTGTCGGTTGTCTTTTGGTTTTGTGGACTGTTTCTTTTGCTGTGCAAAAGCTTTTTATCTTGATGAAATCCCAAGAGTTCATTTTTGCCCTTGCTTCCCTTGCCTTTGGCGATGTTTCTAGGAAGAAGTTGCTGCGGCTAAGGTCGAAGAGGTTGCTGCCTGTGTTCTCCTTTAGGATGTTGATGGACTCCTGTCTCACGTTTAGGTCTTTCAACCATTTGGAGTCTATTTTTGTGTGTGGTGTAAGGAAATGGTCCAGTTCCATTCTTCTGCATGTGGCTGTCCAATTTTCCCAACGCCATTTGTTGAAGAGACTTTTTATCCATTGGACATTCTTTCCTGCTTTGTCGAAGATGAGTTGACCATAGAGTTGAGGGTCCATTTCTGGGCTCTCTATTCTGTTCCATTGATCTATGTGTCTGTTTTTGTGCCAGTACCGTACTGTCTTGATGATGACAGCTTTGTCATAGAGCTGGAAGTCCGGAATTGTGATGCCACCAGCTTTGCTTTTCTTTTTCAGTATTCCTCTGGCTATTTGAGGTCTTTTCTGGTTCCATACAAATTTTAGGATTATGTGTTCCATTTCTTTGAAAAAAGTGGATGGTATTTTGATAGGGATTGCATTGAATGTGTAGATTGCTCTAGGTAGCATTGACATCTTCACAATGTTTGTTCTTCCAATCCATGAGCATGGAACGTTTTTCCATTTCTTTGTGTCTTCCTCAGTTTCTTTCATGAGTATTTTATGGTTTTCTGAGTACATATCCTTTGCCTCTTTGGTGAGATTTATTCCTAGGTATCTTATGGTTTGGGGTGCAATTGTAAATGGGATCGACTCCTTAATTTCTCTTTCTTCTGTCTTGTTGGCGTATAGGAATGCCACTGATTTCTGTGCACTGATTTTATATCCTGCTGCTTTACTGAATTCCTGTATGAGTTCTAGCAGTTTTGGGGTGGAGTCTTTTGGGTTTTCCACGTAAAGTATCATATCATCTGCAAACAATGAAGAGTTTGACTTCTTCTTTGCCAATTTGGATGCCTTTTATTTCTTTTTGTTGTCTGATTGCTGTGGCTAGGACTTCTAATACTATGTTAAATACCAGTGATGATAGTGGACATTCCTGCCATGTTCCTGACCTTAGGGGGAAAGCTCTCAGTTTTTCCCCACTGAGAATGATATTCGCTGTGGGTTTTTCATAGATGGCTTTTATGATATTGAGGTATGTGCCCTCTGTCCCTATACTCTGAAGAGTTTTGATCAAGAAAGGATGCTGTACTTTGTCAAATGCTTTTTCTGCATCTATTGAGAGGATCATATGGTTCTTGTTCTTTCTTTTATTAATGTTTTGTATCACATTGACTGATTTGCAGAAGTTGAACCAACCTTGCAGCCCAGGCATAAATCCCACTCGGTCGTGGTGAATAATCCTTTTAATGTACTGTTGGATCCTATTGTCCAGTATTTTGGTGAGAATTTTTGCATCTATGTTCATCAAGGATATTGGTCTGTAAAATTCTCCTTTTTGATGGGGTCTTTGTCTGGTTTGGGGGACAAGGTAATGGTGGCCTCATAAAATGAGTTTGGAAGTTTTCCTTCCATTTCTATTTTTTGGAATAATTTCAGAAGAATAGGTATTAATTCTTCTTTAAATGTTTGGTAGAATTCCCCTGGGAAGCCATCTGGCCCGGGGCTTTTGTTTCTTGGGAGATTTTTGAACTGCTTCAATTTCCTTGGTGATTATAGGTCTATTCAGGTTTTCTAGTACTTCCTGGTTCAGTTTTAGTAGTTGATACATCTCTAGGAATGCATCCATTTCTTCCAGAT